AATTTTTATGAATAAGGGAACTCATTGGGGACCCATTCAGGGGTCGCAATACGAGGCACTCCTCACTGGCGAGGCACTCATCACTGGCGAGGCACTCATCTCTGGCGAGGCACTCATCTCTGGCGAGGCACTCATCACTGGCGGGCACTCATTTTTGCGAGGCACTCATCTCTGGGGGAGGCACTCATCACTGGCGAGGCACTCATCTTTGGCGAGGCACTCATCTCTGGCGAGGCACTCATCTCTGGCGAGGCACTCATCTCTGACGAGGCACTCATCACTGGCGAGGCACTCATCACTGGCAAGGCACTCATCTCTGGCGAGGCACTCATCTCTGGCGAGGCACTCATCACTGGCGAGGCACTCATCTCTGGCGAGGCACTCATCACTGGCGAGGCACTCATCATCCTGTGTGGTCATGATTCATGGAGCATTTTCTTCATCCTAGGAATTTCATCCCTTGAACCTTCATCTTTGAAACCCATCTTGCAATCCACTGTATCAAACTTTCCCCAGAATCCTCTTCATCAGTCATATTTTCTTCCAAAATTTTTGACAGAGAATTTATGACGAAGGTTAAATTCGGACGCTGTTTCTCCTCATCCTTCTTCATAAGCTGAGCTAGAGATATTAGGTCCTCTGGACAACCAATATAGGCCAGCATTTCACAGGTATGATGGATAATATCACCTAAAGAATAAACATCAAAACTACTTGATGCTTTCCCTGGATAGTGAGACTCAGGAGGGTAGTGGCAACTTCGTTTCCTGTATATTCTTCGATTAGCTCCCAGGCTCTCGGCTAATCCAAAATCGATAATGTTAACAGTAAAATTACGTGGATCATGCTCATTCTGAATCATGACATTATCCATTTTAAGATCTCCATGCAAGACACCCTTGCTGTGAATTTCGTTCAGGCTAATGGTCAACTTAATTAAGGCACGAAGGCATTTGTTGAGAGAACACAGTTCTAAGAAATCATTCAGACGTGTGTTACCCCTACAAGACATCACGAGGATGGTGGGATCAAAGGACATACATAGTGGGATAGGGGCACCACCAGCACCCTCAAGTTACTTAAGAAAGGTCGCTTCTTACACAAACTAGAAACTGCATGCCTCGTGAGTAGCCTTCTTGGCACACACAGTTTGGTCTTCAAGGTTAATGCGGTATACAATGGAACTTACTCCACGACCTACCTCCAGCCAGCTATAAGACTTGAAACGGCCTGTAAGTTCCTCGAAGGGAATAATAGAGAATTTGTGACACAACTATGCTGAAGAAACTGATTCTGACAGAACCTTCAGCAGAGACCTGCTGGTCTCCTCATCCACTTGTCTGATTGCCGTCTCGGCCACACAACTGGTGATCTCTTCAGCTACACACCTGGCAACCTTTTCAGCTACACGCCTGGTGGCCTCCAACTCAACCTCAAGCCTGGCGGCTTCTACCTCACGATTGGCGGCCTCCAACTCGGCCTCAAGCGTGACAGCCTCCAACTCAGCCTCAAGTGTGGCAGCCTCCAACTCAGCCTCCAGCTCAGCCTCAAGCCTAGCGGCTTCCACCTCATGATTGGTGGACTCCATCTTAGCCTCAAGCCTGGCGGCTTCCACCTCATGATTGGCGGCCTTCAACTCAGCCTCAAGTGTGGTGGCCTCCAACTCAGCCTCCAGCTCAGCCTCAAGCCTAGCGGCTTCCACCTCATGATTGGTGGACTCCTTCTTAGCCTCACGCCTTGAGGCCTCCAGGTCAGCCTCATGCCTGGTGACCTCCAGGTCAGCCTCATGCCTGGTGGCCTCCAGGTCAGCCTCACGCCTGGCGGTCTCCAAGTGAGCCGCACGTCTGGCGGCCTCCAGCTCGGTCCCCCTCATGGCGGCCGCTAGATACGCCTCACGCTGGCGGCCTCCAACTCGGCTTCCCGCCTGGCGGCCTCTAGATAAGCCTCACGCCTGGCGGCCTCCAGCTCGGCCTCACACCTGGCAGTCTCCAGCTCGGCCTCACGCCTGGCAGTCTCCAGCTCGGCCTCACGCCTGGCGGCCTCAAGCTCGGCCTCACGCCTGGCAGTCTCCAGGTCGGCCTCACGCCTGGCAGTCTCCAGCTTGGCTTCACGCCTGGCGGCCTCCAGCTCGGCCTTATGCTTGGCGGCCTCCAGCTCGGCCTTACGCCTGGCGGCCTCCAGCTCGGCCTCACGCCTGGCAGTCTCCAACTCAGCTTCACGCCTGGCGGCCTCCAGCTCGGCCTCACGCCTAGCAGTCTCTAACTTGGCTTCATGCCTGGCAGTCTCTAACTCGGCTTCACGCCTGGCGGCCTCCAGCTCGGCCTTACGCCTGGCGGCCTCCAGCTCTGTCTTACGCCTTGCGGCCTCCAGCTCGGCCTTACGCTTGGCGGCCTCCAGCTCGGCCTTACGCCTGGCGGCTTCCAGCTCTGTCTTACGCTTGGCGGCCTCCAGCTCGGCCTCACGCTTGGCAGTCTCCAACTCAGCTTCACGCCTGGCGGCCTCCAGCTCGGCCTTATGCCTGGCGGCCTCCAGCTCGGCCTTACGCCTGGCGGCCTCCAGCTCGGCCTCACGCCTGGCAGTCTCCAACTCAGCTTCACGCCTGGCGGCCTCCAGCTCGGCCTCACGCCTAGCAGTCTCTAACTTGGCTTCATGCCTGGCAGTCTCTAACTCGGCTTCACGCCTGGCGGCCTCCAGCTCGGCCTTACGCCTGGCGGCCTCCAGCTCTGTCTTACGCCTTGCGGCCTCCAGCTCGGCCTTACGCTTGGCGGCCTCCAGCTCGGCCTTACGCCTGGCGGCTTCCAGCTCTGTCTTACGCCTGGCGGCCTCCAGCTCGGCCTCACGCTTGGCAGTCTCCAACTCAGCTTCACGCCTGGCGGCCTCCAGCTCGGCCTTATGCCTGGCGGCCTCCAGCTCGGCCTTACGCCTGGCGGCTTTCAGCTCAGAATTGCGCCTGGAGGTCTCCAGCTGAGCTTTACCACTCTTGAAGGCTTCTTCTTTGTCTTCATGTTTCCTGAAGGATTCTTGTATAGTGTCACTCCATTATGTGGCCACGTTCTTGGCCACATTCTGGGTGCAATTAGGTCTATTGGCCACTTCTAGGCCTTAAGAGATATTTTACGACTTCTGGAGTTAATTCATATTTACGGATAACTTCATTTTAGTAATTAATATTAAATGTTGCGGTACGAGATAAATGCTGGTATCATAGTTAAATAATAGCAGGTTGCTTGGAGATACTCATAATATATATATATATATATATATATGATTATATATATATATATATATATATATATATATATATATGTATATATATTATATATATAATAATATATATATATATATATATATATATATATATTATATATATATATATATATATATATATATATATATATATATATATATATATATATATATACTATATATATATTTATATATATATATATATATAAATATATATAATAGGAGTGAAGTGCAGTGCAGGTATTATAATGATGTGTGAATTATAGTGTGGGTGAGTGTATTATAGTGAAGATGAGTGCATTATAGTGAAGATGAGTGTATTATAGTGAAGATGAGTCGATTATAGTGAAGATGAGTGTTTATAGTAAGATGAGTGTATTATGTGATGATTTGCATATTATATGAAGGTGATGGAATGTATTATAGAGAAGATGAATGTATTATAATGATGAGTGTATTATAGTGAAAATGAGTGTATTATAGTGAAGTTGAGTGTTTTTTGGAAGATGGGGTTTTTTAAAATTAAGTAGTGTATTAAGTGAAGGTTTTTGGGAAAATGAAGGTAAGTTTTAAGGGGAAGGTGGTGTTTTAATTTAAAGGGTGTTTAAGGTGAAGGGGGAGTGTATTAAAGTAAAGGTGGTGTTTTAGTAAAAGGGGGGTTTTTATATTAGGGATTTTTTTATAGGGAGGTGGTGTATTAAGTGGGGGAAAAAAAAAGGGGGAAAAAAAAAAAAAAAAAAAAAAAAAAAAAAAAAAAAAAAAAAAGGGGGGGAAAAAAAAAAATTTTTTTAAAAAGGTGTGTGTATTTAGTTAAGGTGAGTTGTTATATTTGAAGGTGATGTATTATAGTGAAGGTGTGTGTATTATAGTTAGGTGGTGTGTATAGTGAAGGGTGTGTTTTATAGTAAGGTTTTTGGTTTTAAGTGAAGGTGTGTTATTTAGTTAAGGTGGTGTGTTTAGTGAAGGTGTGTGTATTATAGTGAAGGTGTGTGTATTATATTAAGGTGAGTGTGTTATAGTGAAGGGTTGTTTTATGTAAAGTGTGTGATTAAGTTAAGGTGACGTGTTATAGTAAGGTGTGTGTATTATAGTAAGGTAGTTGAATATAGTAAAGGGTTTTGTGTGTATTATAGTGAAGATGAGTTATTATATGAAATGAAGTTTAAGTGAAGTGAATGTATTATATAAAGATGATGTTTTATAATGATGATGTATTATAATGAAGAGGTGTATTGTGTAAGATGAAGTATTATGGAAGATGAGTGATTAAATGATGATGTATTATAATAAGATGTGTGTATTGTAGTAAAAGATGAATGTTTATAGTGAAGTAAGTGTATTACAGTAAAGGTGAGTTGATTATAGTGAAGGTGTGTGTATTATAGTAAAGAGGGGTTGTTATGCAGGGTTCTGCTGACATCGTAATGTACACATGTGGAGAATGTTTCCTGGAATTTACCTGGGGAGAGTTCCGGGGGTTTTAACGCCCCCCCGGCCGGTCGTGACCGGGCCGGGAATGTTATAATTTAAAAAAATAATTTTATAATTCATAATGTCATTTGGGGGCACTGGTAAAGTCTTAACTGTAATTATAAAGAAAACCCCGCTAGGGACTTTTTTTCCAAGGGTTTTGGTAAAAAAAACCCTACCAGGCGGGGTTTGAACCCCCGGTCGAGAGCCAAAATCAGACCGTCGCGTTAGCCCCTGCCAGCAGCCACAAAAAAGATTCTCCAATAGGGATATTTTTACACCATAGGAAAGGTTAGTAGGGCCCCTTGTGCCCCAATGCAAGTTTTATAGACGAATCTCCCCAAAAACCGTTAAAAAGATACGAAATCGTAATGACACGATTGCAAAAAAACCAATCCCGCCCCTGGCTGGGTTTTTTTTGCAATCGTTATTACGATTTGTGATCGGGTTTGGGTACGCGGGTAAACGTGGCTGGGTGTCACGTGGAGTCGCATGGGGTGGAGGGTTGGCTCGGAGATGCTGGGTATTTTTAAAAAAAGTTTGTAGTTTTGGGACTCCTTTTTTTTAGCTAACCCAAGCTATGGGGCCCTTTTATGGCTTACCTGTTGCCACCCCGGGCCCGACATGAGGGTGCTGTGGGGGGGTAGGAAATAAAAAATGGGGTTTGTTTGGAAGTGACGGCCCCGGGGGCTGAAGGCTAGTGGTTTTCGGTGGCTGGACCTCCCCCACTGTTTCTTGTGTTCCATCATTTGGGTTTAGGATTTTTAAGGGTTTCTTTGAGTGTGTATATATGTTATGTTGAATAAAAGATATATTTTCCCCAACTGGGGTTTTTTTCCAACCCTCTGTTTAAACCAACCATTGAAGTAAAACATATGGTTTCGCTTTCTGTTTGACTGGGATACCTTGGGTGGCCCGTTTTGCTTGAGATGTGTGGTAACTTTTACCTTTGCCCTAAGACAAGGCTCAATCCCCCCGCTGTCCCACATTTCTGCGTACATGGGTGTATTAGAGTGAAAGAGAGTGTACCAAATGATGGTGAGTGTTTATAGTGTAGGTGAGTGTATTAGAGTGAATGAGAGAGTACTAAAATGAAGGTGAGTGTAATATAGTGAAGCTGAGTGTATTATAGTGAAGGTGAGATGATTATAGTGAGGGTGTGTGTATTCTAGTGAAGATGGGTGTATTAGAGTGAAGGAGGAGTGTACGAAATGATGGTGAGGTTTTATAGTGTAGGTGAGTGTATTAGAGAGAAGGAGAGTGAACTAAAATGAAGGTGAGTGTAATATAGTGAAGCTGAGTGTATTCTGGTGAAGGTGAGTGTATTATAGAGAAGGTGAGTGTACTAAAATGAAGGTGAGTGTAATATAGTGAAGCCGAGTGTATTCTAGTGAAGGTGAGTGTATTATAGAGAAGGTGAGTGTACTAAAATGAAGGTTTACCTGGAGATTACCTAGAGTTTACCTGGAGAGGGTTTTGAGGGTCAACGCCCCGCGCCCTGTCTGAGACCAGACCTCATGGTGGATCAGGGTCTGATCAGCCAGACTGTTACTGCTGGCAGCACGTAAGCTTACTTACGAACTACAACCTGGTAGGTCAGGTACTGACTTTAGGTGCATTTCCAGTGCCTTCTTGAAGACAGCCAGGGGTCTATTGGTAATCCCCCTTATGTATGCTGGGACACTTATTATGTTGTCTCTCAGTGTACTCGTGGCGCCCCTGCTTTTCAAAGGGGGAATGTTGCATCTCGTGCCGAGTCTTTTGCTTTCATATGGAGTGATTTTCTTGTGCAGGATTGGTACCAATCCCTCCAGCACCTTCCAAGTGTATATTATCACGAATCTCTCTCTCGCTTGCATTCCAGGGAATACAGATCAAGGGCCTTCAACCGTTCCCAGTAGTTTGGTGCCTTATCGTACGTTTTGTGTGCCGTGAAATTTCTTTGTACACTCTCAGGTCTGCAATTTCGCCAGCCTTGAAGGGGGCCGTGAGTGTATAGCAGTATTTTAGAGAAGAGAGCACAAGCGATTTGAAGAGAATCATCATGGGTTTGGCGTCCCTAGTTTTGAAGGTTTTCCTTATCCATCCTATCACTTTCCTAGCAGAGGAGATAGATACATTGTTCTGGTCTTTGAAGGCGAGATTCTCTGACATTATCACTCCCAGGTCCTTCACATTACTTTTCAGCTCTATTGTATGGTTAGAATTTGTCGTATACCCTGACACATTTTTAATTTCTTCAAGTTTCCCATATCTAAGTAGTTGAAATTTCTCCTCGTTGAACTTCATTTTGTTTGAGTGCCCCATTCGAAGGTTTGGTTGATGTCCGCTTGAAGTCTCTCGGTGTCTTCAGTGGAGGTCACTGCCATGGTGATCCAGGTGTCATCCGCAAAGGAAGACTCGGAGCAATGGCTTACATCTCTGTCAGAAATGAGGATGAGGAATGAAATGGAAGCGAGTACTGTGCCTTGTGGAACAGAGATTTTTACTATGGCTGTCTGGGACTTTACTCTGTTTACTATTACTCTTTGTGTTCTATTTGTCAGAATTTGTAGAATGGTTCAGAGAACCGACATGTTGAAAATTTGTCAGGAAGTTGTAGATCCATCTACCAACTTTTCCCGTTATTTCTTTATCACGCATTTTGTGTGCTATTACACCATGGTCACACTTGTCGAAAGCTTTAGCAAAGTTTGTGTATACATCTGTACTTTGTTTATCCTCAACAAAATCCAGGACCTTGTCATAGTGGTCCCGTAGCTTGGACAGGCAGGAGCGACCTGCTCTAAACCCATGTTGCCCTGGGTTGTGTAATTGATGGGTACTTAGGTGGGTGGCTATTTTGCTTCTTAGAACTCTCTCAAAGACTTTCATGATATGGAATGTTAGTGCAATTGCTTTACTGCCATCTTTGTGGAGTGGGGCTATGTCTGTTGTTTTTAGTGTGTGTGGGTTGATCCCTGTGTCCATGCTCCCTCTCCATAAAATGCTGAAGGCACGCAAAATGGGCCTGGAACAAAGCGCATTGGCATGTCATCAATTGCCTCTTCAAAGTCCTTGGGAGCTAGAATAATATCCAATATTTTTGGGATAACCAAATTTTGGGTTTCGTTCACAAAGAATTCGTTTGGATTGTCGACCCTTAGTCTGGGCAGTGGCTCGCTGAACACTGAATCATACTGGAACCTTAGTATCTCACTCATTTCTTGGCTGTCATCTGTGTATGTCCCATCCCGCCTAAGCAGGGTCCCAATACTGGATGTTGTTTTTCTTTTAGATCTGGCATAAAAGAAGAAGTATTTTTTTTTCAATTCCACT